CTCGTCAGCCTCGTCGCTGTCGGCGGCCGCCGTCGCCTTCTGCTCGGCGGTAGACGTTGGCTTGACGGTCGACGACGTCGGCTCGGCGGTAGACGCCGGCTTGTCGGCCGCGTTGCTGTCGCCCGCCGCCTTCGTCGTCGAATTGGCGGTAGGCGTCGGCTCGCTAACCTCGGAGCAGGGCGAATTGAGTCAAAAGCAACTAACAAATGGGCTCTCGGACCCCTCCCTCCTGGTGTCTAGAGCTGCCGAGCTGCGTCCAGCCGTGGCGACGAGAGGACCCCACGAAGGCCAACGGCCGTTGTCTGAACTCGCCCTCATCTGACAGTGAGGGGAGGGGGTACTGGCAGAAAGAGGGTAATCATCGACCTGGAATCGGATATACATCGCCGATAGTTAGATCGGCGGTAGGCCCCCGATTGTAAATCCCCATGTTCCTGGGCGGGGTGGGGCTATCGGACCCCTATCGCCGATCAGTGGGCGATTAGGGGTCGACGCACCATCCCCCCTTGCCTATCCGCCCTACTCTTAGGTCGGGCATGTCCCCCTACAAGGGGGTCTTGGGCGAAGAACTAGAAATACTAAAAACATGGACTGCAACAATGCCCAACAGTCATATAAAGATCGTCCCCCGACTATTTGTTTACCATGTTTGAACTTCCCTCCTGTAGAGGGACAGGCCCGACTCAACCCTACTCTCGTTGCCCCTGGGACAGCCGCTTGCCCGCCACTCGACGCTGCCGCCGGCCCGCTGCCCTCGCCCCAGACGTAGTCGTTCCAGCACGCGTTCCGCACGCGCGAGCACGGGGCCGACCAGAGCAGGCACGTGCCCTTCTTCAGCGCGTACTGGCTGGTGCCGCGGCCGTCAGGCCACCCCAGGGGGCCAGGGGGAGCAGTAGGATTGAGTCGCGCGTGTCCCCCTACAGGGGGATTTCCAACAAGAGAAAAAACAAAAAAACAACAAATTATGCTAACGGAGTTCCCCACATAATGATGTTTTTGGGCTAGCGGGATCAAGCAACATTTTGTAGAGAAATTGCCGACCTGCCCTCGCCCTCTCCATCCTTTTCTATCACATGGTTTGCGAATACCCTCCTCGCTCATGCGGGGCTTCCCTGGAGGGGTGGGACGGGCACGGAACCTGATAAATAGCACTGTTCGCGAATACCCTCCTCGCTCAGACGGGGCCTCCCTGGAGGCGCTCAGGCGGGGCCTCCCTGGAGGGGTGGAGGGGCACGAAACCTGATAAATAACAGGTGATGCGAATACCCTCCTCGCTCAGGCGGGGCCTCCCTGGAGGGGTGGGAGGGGCACGAAACCTGATAAATAACAGGTGATGCGAATACCCTCCTCGCTCAGGCGGGGCCTCCCTGGAGGGGTGGGAGGAGCACGAAACCTGATAAATAACAGGTGATGCGAATACCCTCCTCGCTCAGGCGGGGCCTCCCTGGAGGGGTGGGAGGGGCACGAAACCTGATAAATAACAGGTGATGCGAATACCCTCCTCGCTCAGGCGGGGCCTCCCTGGAGGGGTGGGAGGGGCACGAAACCTGATAAATAACAGGTGATGCGAATACCCTCCTCGCTCAGGCGGGGCCTCCCTGGAGGGGTGGGAGGGGCACGAAACCTGATAAATAACAGGTGATGCGAATACCCTCCTCGCTCAGGCGGGGCCTCCCTGGAGGGGTGGGAGGGGCACGAAACCTGAGAAATAACAGGTGATGCGAATACCCTCCTCGCTCAGGCGGGGCCTCCCTGGAGGGGTGGGAGGGGCACGAAACCTGAGAAATAACAGGTGATGCGAATACCCTCCTCGCTCAGGCGGGGCCTCCCTGGAGGGGTGGGAGGGGCACGAAACCTGATAAATAACAGGTGATGCGAATACCCTCCTCGCTCAGGCGGGGCCTCCCTGGAGGGGTGGGAGGGGCACGAAACCTGATAAATAACAGGTGATGCGAATACCCTCCTCGCTCAGGCGGGGCCTCCCTGGAGGGTATTGGTATTGGTATGATGTGGTATGTTATTGGTATGGTATTGGCTTGGTATGGTATGGCTTGGTATGATTTGGTATGGTATTGGTATGGTATTGGTTGCTGTTCTGTTCTGTTCGTGGTTTGGTATGGTATTGGTATGGTATGGTATTGGTATGGTATGGCTTGGTATGGCTTGGGATGTTATTGGTTTGGTATGGTATGGTATGGTATGGTATTGGTATGGTATGGTATGGTATTGATATGGTATGGCTTGGTATGGCTTGGTATGGTATTGGTATGGTAAGGTATTGGTATGGTATGGCTTGGTATGGTATGGTTTAGGAGAAGGACGCGGGAGGAGGAGGAGAAGGAGAGGGTGTTCTGGGAAAACAAGAACCCCACTCAGGATGTGGGGAAATACTCAAAAGATGCCCCAAGATACGCAAGAAATAGTCCCCAGACCATGTTTTGACTAGTTTCGAATACTCCCGCTGTAGAGGGACAGCCCCGACTTCACAATAGGAACTCGCCACCGCTCGGACGCCCATGCCCCGTGCATTTTTCGACCTCGTGCGTGCACTTTCCGCTAGATGATCAAAGATGCTCCTCGATGGTCCTCGCCGAAACAAAAAAACATGCACACGTCCGAGCGACGCCAAGGGAGGCAACTGCTGGGAGGTCCTGGTAAGAACGATTGAAGGCTCTTGAGCCCGATGGTGGAGCCATTGACCGGATAAGCCTGGACTGCACACAGGATCAAGCCCGATCAAGCCAGCCTAAGCAGCATTAAACGGAATTATGCCAGAGTAGGCCAGTTTTCGACCACGGAAATGCCAGCGCCGATGCTGAATTGAACCTCCCAGGAGTTGCATCCTAAGGTCAGGTCGGGCATGTCCCCCTACAGGCGGATTTTGGACGAAGAATGAAACACATTTAAAAAAAGACTTTCAGATCGTCAAAATATAATGAAAAGATCGTCCCTAGAAGCACCCACGAGGAAGAACGGAGCAGAATCGAGAACCGCGAAACAGCACGGCGGAATTCGCCAGGCAAAATCGGAACCCACCCCAGGCAAAATTCCGAGCCCCTGCCCAGGGAGGGCTCGCGGTGTGGCTCCTGTGCACTGCCTGGAGCAGAAGAAGAAAAAAACACATAAATATAAAGTTTCGGCACTCCGCGCGGACTTCTTGGATCCGCGCTGGGGCCCCCCTGGCGGCGCCTCCGGCGCCGCCCTGGCGCGCTCCGCGCGTCCGCGCGCCAGAGAGGGGGCCGGAGGCGCGCGGAGCGCGCCAGGGGCGGCGCCGGAGGCGCCGTCAGGGGGGCCCCAGCGCGGATCCAAGAAGTCCGCGCGGAGCGCCGAAACTGTGTGTTTTTTTCTCCTTCGATGGAGGCCCGCCACCGTGCCGCAGGCACTGAGTGCAGCGTCCTCGGAACCCTTCAGGTCCCCATTGCTGAACGCCGACGGCAGTTAACCGGGTTACGAGGCCGATGTGGCATCACAGCAGCAATTCGGCCCCTGACTTTCGTCCTGGGTTCGGTTTAGTGAAGTGATGAATTTCGGGGTCCTTACGTGGGGAAAACCATCACTTCACCAATCTGGGGCCCCTGGGGCCTCAGTGGGCCCTGGGGCCGAAAATTAGTGAAGTGATGGTTTTCGGGCCTCGGAGCAGTGCTGCACGGCGGCGGCTCGGGGCTCCCTCCCTGGAGGCCTCGGAGGCGCGGCTCGGAGTGCAAGCGTCCGCCGTGCGCTTCGGGGCTGCGCTGGCCCGGGTCCAGCAAAAAGCACGGGCCAGCCGGGCTCTGCAGGGTCCTGCAGGATCATGGAGGCTCCTGCAGGATCCTGCGCCCAAAGTCATGAGGGGCAACGAAAGGGGGGGACTGGCACAGGGGGGGTGCATCGACCTGGAATTGGCGACACATCGCCGACAGCTCGGCGATGGGCCCCCGATCATGTATCCGCACCTTTCGGGCCCCTGTCGGCGATCAGCGGGCGATTCGGGGTCGATGCATCCCCCCCGATGCCCATCCCCCCCTGTCGTTGCCCCTGAAATCAGGGTCTGGGCACCCCTGGCTCTGCAGGGTCCTGCAAGATCCGGCACTCTGACGGCCCCCCGTTTGCACTGACCCCCGTCTCCTGAGCTCCGATTGGAAGCCTGGACATGGGCACCGACACCAACACAGGGGGTTGCCTCCACAGGGGAAAGGTGATCCAAGATTTCGGTGTCGGTGGTAATGTGTCGGTCACCTTGGCAGCCAGAGTATGACCACCATCATCGAGATCGGGGTCTTCTTCCCTCGGTGGAGGAACACCGCCGATATTGGTGCTGGTGTCAACCTCTGGGCTTATGCTGCTCCCACCGTACTTGAGGACCACACCCCAGAAATACTTTCGAGCACCAGGAAAAGCGTCGAAAGAGTGTCGAAACAGCGGCGGACGGGTCTCCCGGGGCCCGACGCGTGAAGACCCTCGATGTTCGGTACTCCTCTGGTGCTCGAAATCCTGTCTGGCGATCAAGGCTAAAGTCGGTTGGAACATCATAACTCTAGGCTTAGGTCGGGCCTGTCCCCCTACAGGGGGATTTGGGACGAAAAATATAAAAGACCCCTCAACAAAAAAGAACTCAAAAGATGCCACAAAATACTAAGAACAAATAGTCCCCAGACTATTTCTGTACTGTTCTTGAACAGTCCCCCTGCAGAGGTCGGGTCGGGCAAAAGGGGGGGATAGCAAAGGGGGGGTTTGAGAATCAGCTCACGTAGCTGATTTTCCCGGCGCCTCCCGGCGCCAGAGGCGGCTGTGTATCGAGGAATGGGCCCCTCGGTGAGGCCGAAACCAGCTGCGTGCAGCAGATTTCGTAACCCCCCCTTTCCCAATCCCCCCCTTTCGCCCGGCCCGATTGGATCCTCCGCACGCTGTTGGTGCCCATGACGAAAGTGCACATCGCCGTCTGCTGTCGCATCGAGGATCGAGAGGAGGAGGAGGAGGAGGAGGAGGAGGAGGAGAGGAGGAGGAGGAGGAGGAGGAGGAGGAGGGACCTGCCCGACTTAGCTCTGTAGGCCTGCGATCCCGAGCGAGAGGATGTGCGCAGGGCCCGGCCCTGCGGCGCCGGCGCCGGCGGCCTCCCGGGGGGCCCGCTCTCGGAGGCCCGCTCTCGGCACCCACCGGCCCCGCAGGCGTGCGGCGGCGGGCTTCTGTGCGGCCCGTCGGCAGCGCAGAAGCGCCCCGAAGCGGCGCGAAGCGAAAAAAAAAAAAAAAAAAAAAAAAAAAAAAAAAAAAAAAAAAAAAAAAAACGGAGTGATTATCACGTGGCTGCTTTTGAGTCTTCGCTCCTGGCCCAAAAGATCCGCCCGAAGTTCCCTTCGAAGCCTGGGACGAAACTCTCCGGGACACTCCGGGCCCATGCTGTCGTTTTCCGAACGAAGCCCGCTCTGCGATGTTGGCGCCATGACTCTGGTTGGGGAACCAACAAAACTGAACGCAAACGGGCGATGCTCGGACTGCGCATCCCCCTGCCCCCTCCTATCGTCTCCCTCCTCCTGCCCCTGGCCAGACCGCGGGCCCCCTGGCGCTCTGGGGCTCGCGAGGCTGCCGCGGCGCTGTTGCAGTCTCGGAACTGGTGGCTGAAACCGACGCAGCCTGGCGCGTCCCAGCAAGCCGTGCCGCAATCCTCCGCCGTGTGCTGCAAGCTCCTGCATCGAAGGCCTTCGGCGGCCTTCGGCGGGCACCAGCGGGGATGCCGTCGACGTCGGATGGAGGGCGACGGAGGAGGAGGAGGAGGAGGAGGAGGAGGAGGAGGAGGAGGAGGAGGAGGAGGAGGAGGAGGAGGCGGAGCGGAGGCGGAGGCGGAAGGGAGGAAGGAGGAGAGGAGGAGGAGGAGGAGGAGGAGGAGGAGGAGGATGAGAGGAGAGGAGAGGAGGAGGCGGCGGAGGCGGAGTCGGAGGGCGGAGGTCGGAGGAGGGAGGAGGAGGCATAGAGGAGGATAGGTAGGAGGAGGAGGAGGAGGAAGGGAAAAATGGGCCGGAGAACGGAGGAGGTCCCGAATCCTCCGCTTGCTCCTCGTCCTACTGCTCCTGCTCCTGCTCCTCTCGCTTCGTCCCTGTTCGTTGCAGATGTGGAGGAGGAGGAGGAGGAGGAGGAGGAGGAGGAGGAGGAGGAGGAGGAGGGGGAGGAGGAGGGGAAGGAGGAGGAGGAGGAGGAGGAGGAGGAGGAGGAGGAGACATCCTCTGCTTTATCCTGGTGCCTGAGGCGCGACAAGCAGGATTTCCTTTCCCAGATGGCAAAGAAGATCGGTACGATGGCGATTCTTCACGATGGGCACCACGAATGGCTCTGGTTGCATAGGCTCCTCAGGTTCAGTGGTAAGCTTGCCAAGAGTTGCGACCACACGTTGCTTCCTCAGAAGTTCAACCACGACGGCTTGCCGATTACTTCTGAACGTGAATGGGCGGCGTCTCTCAGGCAGCATTTCGCGCAGCTTGAGGACGGGATCGAAGGTACTGAAGAGGAGATCCGTTCCCAATATAACGAGCTCTCGATAGACCACGCATCACATGTCACGAGGGAAATCAGCTCTATTCGACCACCCTCCTGGATAGCTACGAGGCTCCGAGGGGTGAAGGCTCATCGTGCACCTGGACACGACACCATCCAGAATACCGTCCTTAAGGTTGCCCCTGATGCCGCACTTCCGCACCTCCAGGCTATCACCACTAAGACGGGGCTACTGCTACAAGAAGCAGTCATACATAAAGCTGGTCTGGCGTGTGGATTGCACAAGGGCAAGTCAGGGCGGATCACGGCTGAGATGTACCGATCAATTATGCTGAACTCGGATGTGATCAAGCACCACCATGCCTTCCTGCGGTCTGCCCTGACGAAGAGTAGCAAGTTCTTAATGGTGGATTCTCAAACTGGAGGTATCAGAGGCCGTTGTGCTGGCATGGCGTCTCAGATGATCAGGGTCTTCCGTCAGATCGCCAAGGCCAAGAAGTTCACTGCCATGGTAATTTTTGTCGACCTGGTGGCGGCTTTTTATTCGCTCCTTCGGCAGGCAGGTATACCACTGGTTGGTACTGAAGAGTATGTGGATCAAGTATTGGAGAACGCGCCCGCAATTGCACACCCTCTTCTGGAAGCGGTTCTCCCTGCACCAGTGCTGCTGGATGACCGTGTTGACCAGCATTTAATGGCACAAGTTATTGAAGCGCACAGGCTCACGCACTTCCGCGTGCCTGGGGATAAGCAGTGGGTAGTCTCACAGAGAAGTTCTACAGCAGGCAATCCCCTGGCAGATTTCTTCTTCAATGTGGTGTTCGCTCGGCCATTACGTGGTATCAAGAACGACATGTGCGAAGCGGGCATTGCCCTGGACCTCAAGGAATGCCTGGAGGGTTCGGTTCGTGCTTTTTCACAAGGGATTCCTGTAGAGCGTGATACCTTCACGGACGCCACTTTTGTGGATGATTCTGGCTTCTGTTCCCCATGTTACGACCCTAGTGCCGTCAGGGACCAAGTTGCGACATTGGGCCGCATCATTCGCAGACACATGGTGGGTTCAGGGTTCAAGTTGCACCTCGGGAAGGGGAAGACGGCTGCAGTTACCTCCTACAAAGGTGAAGGCACGCTAAAGGCAAGGAGAGAGATGGTCAACATTGCGGCAGTGGCGCTGGACAGCTCTTCTGGCGACCGCATCTCGATCGAGCAGTCCTACAAACATGTTGGCGGCATCTATTATGGCGACGGCAGCTGTGGGCAGGAGATCTCTCGCAGGAGGCAGAAGCATGCAGCGGCCCTACGACCACTCAGATCTGTGGTGATCAAGCATAATATCGACAAAAACGACAAGCTCAAGTACGTCGACGCGCTTTGCAGCACCCACTTATTCTTTCAGGCAGAAACTTGGGATCGCTTGTCGGCCACGGCTGCCACAAAAGTAAACCATTCGTTGATGTCTGGATACCAGGTGGCCACGAAGAAATTGCACAATGTAACCACTGACCAGAGAACGTTGGATGCTGAGGTCTTTGCACTTTCTAATAGGTTGGAATATTTGCACATTTTACGTTTCCGTAGATTGAGGTATGTCGCTCGACTACTACATGACGGCTCACCTACCCTCAGACTGATACTTGATGCCACAGTGGGTATACCATCGGCCTGGGCCACATTGGTGATCGAGGACTTTATTTGGATGAGGAGGTACGGCCATGAGGGCCCTGACCAAGATCCGAGTTCTGATGCGGGTCTTGCTACCTGGATGCAATATGTGGCCAAGGACCTCAAACGTTTCCAACGACATCTGCGAAAGGCATGGGATACTGTTCAAAACCAGCAGCTGGATATCTACAGGAACTGATATGTTGTGCGTACGACCAAACAAATGTATCCAGGATTGATTGCCAATTGTGACGATGATCAAGAGCAGACGAGATGTCTGCAATCAATCGTTTTTTCAATCGCTGGGTATCGTGGACATTGGACCCGTGTGCATCAGCCAGTGGACCCAGCGCAATTTTACGCCGATGGTTCAGAGTGTCAGTGGTGTGGGGCTAGTTTGTACGATCGCGCAGGGCTGCTGCGGCACTTGCGCAGACCAACGGGAGCATGCCTTGGTATGCTGATGTCTTGCGTTGCCCCCCTGGATGACCAGGTGGTTGAGCAATGGGCGGAATTGGATCGGGAGCAGGCTATGGTGAAACGGAAGTCAGGCCTTCGTGCAGGTGCGCAGCTCAGGCCTGCTCTCCCTGGACTTAGACAACCAGCTGCTTCCGATGTGCGCCCACTGCCACCAAGTGTTGCATTTTCCCCCGACCAGCATGTGCCGCCTCCGCTCAGAGCTGGGACCAGGAGTCGCGCATTTGTGCTACACATGGGACGGGGGCCAAGAACTATCAATGATTTCTCTGACATTATGGGCAAGGGTACTGGCATATTCAGTGTTTCTGTACTTTATCTGGACTGTGATGACCTGTGTGAGACTAATAAGCTGTAGTGTACTGTTTTTCTGGGTAAGATGTTACGATGGATTCAATATGGTGTTGTGCTGGGAGTTGTGGTCACACCCCCGTGGGCATCATGGTCGGCGACACTTCGACGCGCTGGTGCCGTTGGCGAGCCCGTCCGACCTGTATGCCAGCCATGGGGTGCCGACCTTGTCCCTGCTTACTGGGCCAAGAAGTTGCGCAGGGAGAATGCTGGGATCAGGGCAGGCTCGCTGCTCCTGGCTGCCGCAGCTGCTGCAGGCTCTGTGGGACTATTTCTGCACTCAGTCCCCAGAGCCGATCACGCTGCGGACATATGGAGTACCGAAGTCCTGATAGCCCTGGCAGGTCGACCCGAGGCAAAAGCTGTGTGTTTCGACCTCGCGGACTTCGGCCTACCCCAGCGTGCAGTTGGCCGAGCACTGGCGCTCCATTGCCCCCAGGTTTCTGAGCTGATGCAGCAGCGTGGCCTCGCGGCCCAGCCAACGGGGGTGCTGCAGAGTGGTGGTTGGATGTACCCTAGTGGACTGTGGGAACTGGTGGGGGAGGCTGTGTTGTTGGCCCAGCCTGCACTGCGTGGTGACGCTACTGCGGGCTGCGCCGAGGACTCCCCCCTGAGATCCCTCCTCGCCCCTCCTGAGAGATATGCGGACCCGCTGGAAGAATCACAGGAGTACGAGCTCGTCGAAGGTTCGATCGTGTCGCCTATGGTGTTCCCTCCTGCTGCATTTGGTGACGTATATCACCTGACGGCCCAGCGTGGTGGCGAAAGCGGCAGGGGATGAAACAAACCCCAAGCGCCGCCCCGCTGGGCCAGTGTTGCTGTCTGCAGCTGGGCGTTGCTGGCGGTGGTCCGCGCAAGGAGGTCAATTACAAGTGCGTGTTGTGCTGCGCCTTCGTAGAGGGGGCGCGGGAGCGGCCCAGCGTGGTGGCGGAAGCGGCGGGGGATGAAACACATCCCCTGCGCCACCCCGCTGGGCCCGTGGGCGGCGGTTCGACTGGCCGACGGCCGTGCGCTGGCTTGGCGCCGCTGCCGTGGTCGTGCCGCTGGGCGTATCCATCGTGGGCGCCTGGCGGTGGGACCGCACAAGGAGGAGCCCTTCAAGCTGGGGCGTCTTGGATTGCATGTGGACTCCGCGGGGCATCCGCCCCTGGGGATGGGAGAGAGAGAGAGAGAGAAGAGGAGGAGGAGGAGGAGGAGGGGGAGGAGGAGGAGGAGGAGGAGGAGGAGGAGGGAGAGGACGAGGGCCAGGCCGCTCCTGTTGAGCTCGATGTCCCGCCAGTTGTCGCAGAACACCAGGAGCGTCTCGGCAGCGGTGGCCGCGGCCGAGCTGCTGACGGCATCGATCGAAGGCGCTGCCCTGGCGCCGCCTCGGGAGGTCGACTCGGCACGGCCAAAGGTGGGAACGGAGGAGGGCGAAGGGGAGAAGCAGGAGAAGCACGATGAGCAGGAGGAAGGGGAGGGGGAGGAGGAGGAGGAGGAGGAGGAGGAGGAGGAGGAGGAGGAAGAAGAGGTGGAGGAGGAGAAGGAGGAGGACGAGAAGCACGATGAGGAGGAGGAGGAGGAAGAGGAGGAGGAGAGCAAGATTGGGAGGAGGAGGAGGAGGTGGAGGAGGAGCACGATGAGGAGGAGGATGCGACGAGAGTGGCGTCAAAAGGTGGTTTGGCCCGAGGTTCGCTGCAGGAGTTCCAAGAGGGTCAGGCGGCCCTCGCTTCTGGAGAGCCCGCGCGGAGAGGCCGACAAATCTTGGAAGACGTGTTGGGACGCACCATGACAGTCGGACCGAGGCCAGAAGAACACCCCTCGAGAACATGACGCCCTCCGTCGGCCAAAAGAAGCAAAGCATCCAAGGGTTCCCTCCCCAGGCTGCACAAGAACACCCGACAAAGCGCGAAGAACACCAGGGTCGGGGAAACGTAAGACTCGGCTACGGGGGACTCGAGTTGGCCTGACGGGGCCCATCATAAAAATGACGAGACATAATTTGATATTTGACGCGGGCTCCCACTGCAGACATCCCACGAAAACGGGACCGTCGAAATCCAGGACGCGCTCGTCAGAAAAAAAATATGGGCTAAACCCGAGTTCTGGCTTACTCGAGTCTTACGTTTCCCCGACAAGGTACCCTCCCCGAACCAACCTCGATCTTATACATCGGTCCGACTGTATCACGAATGGAGGCCAGGGGGGCGGACGGGGGACGTACGGGGGAGGCGCACTGGGAGAACCAGCGGACCCAGACGTGCCGTGTTTGGATTTTTGTCGGCAGGCGGGCCCGCGAGGACCCCAGCCGGTTCTCCGTCTCGAGTATTTGCTTTACGGTGCTGGGGCAACCTTTTGTCATGCTTTTCTCAGGCCAGGCGAAAGTGGGGGATAGCAAAGGGGGGGTTGAGAATCAGCTCACGTAGCTGATTTCCCGGCGCCTCCTGGCGTCGGACGGCGCCCATGTATCGAGGAATGGGCCCGGCGGCGGGGCCGAAACCAGCTGCATGCAGCAGATTTCGTACCCCCCCCTTCCCTATCCCCCCCCCCTTTTCGGCCCGGTGTTCCCTGGTAGCGTCTCGCTGCAAGGATTCCACGATGGGCTCGAGAAGACCATCCAAAAAATCCCACGGGCGGGGCGGGGAGCCCGAGACCGCCCCGTTCGGCAGCGGTCCTGCAGCCGTTTTGCCGGAGACTTCTTCAACGAATATACCGAAACCGTGCTCTCGCCGCCATGCCCCCAAACATTTGTTGGTCCGGACGGCCTCGATCCCTCGTGGGAAACACAATGCGCAACACATGAGCGACGAAAGGAAACGAGCCTTACACAGTATGGCCCAACGACCTCACGCGTTAGCGCACGCGGGCCGCCAGCGCGGCACGCCACAGTGGAAACCAAGGCGCACACGCGCGACCTTACGTGGGCAGCTTACGCGCCAACATCGGTGAAGACGACCCCGCTTCTTGCTGCGCCGCCAAAGTGGCAGCGCGCTGCTGCTGTTGTGGTGCTCTGCCGGGGCACATACTTTCACGGCGCGAGCATGTCTGCGGAGCGCGCCGCGGCGCGCGGCGTGCACCGCGCGAGCGGGGCCCGGCCCAACGCCGCCGGGCCGGCCCGGCGACACGCGCAGGGAAAGCCACCCCGCCACCACGCCCAGGCATGCCGCCCTCCGCCGAAGGGCTCGCGAGGAGCCGCCTGGCGTCCGCGCCGCGTTTCCGGCGCGATCGCCCCGCCGTTAGCGCCTCCACGACGACCAGGGCCTGGCCCACGCTCGCCGAGCGCGGCCAGCCAGGCCACAGGCGAACAAAAAAGAGGCTTCACGCGAGAGGGCACGGCGGCCTTGTGCCGCAGCTTGCGCGGGCCGCCAGCGCTGCACGCCACATGGTTGGGCCTCACGCGGGCAACTCGCCATCGCTCGGACGTCCATTCCCCGTGCATTTTTCGACTTCGTGCGTGTATGTTCCGCTAAATGATCAGAGATGTTCCTCGATGGTCCTCGCCGAGAACAAATGCACACGCCCGAGCGACGCCAAGGCCACCGTCCGCGCAGACGCCACTTTTTTATGCGTCGCACAGGTGGTCACCAGGCTTCGGGGGAATGACTTCACATTGATGACCTCGCCGCCCGTCTCTTCACGAAAATCTCGTCAGTGCCTGCGCCCGCCGAACGCCGAGCGCCGAGCTACGTCCAACACATCCACCAGGACGTGGATGTCCCAGGCGATGGCAATCGCAGCGCAACTTCACAACGGACGCCGCCGCCAAGTCCATCCACACCAGGGCCTGGGTGGTCCCAGGTCGGCGCCTTGCAGAAGACCTCCCCTTTGCCCACGGCCGTCCGCGGCAGCCAGCCACTGGCGCCGCGCCTGAGAGTAACTCAGATTGAAGGGCCTCCCCGCGGAGCGCCGCCAACCTGCGCAGCCCAGCGCGGCCTCGGAAGCCCTGGGCGATCGATGGACGCGCCCGTCGGCCTCTTGCCCCCGTTGGCCAGCGCGCCCACCCTCGCACACCTCGGCCAGGCTGCGAGGCGCAAGCTGGCGAGGCTGACGCCGTTCAGCCTTCCGCCCGGGCCCGTGCGGACCTGATCGAATCGCTTCGTTGCGCGCAGAGCCGAGGAGGGAGGGCATCCGCCGCGTCACTGCTGCCCCTCCGCCCGCAGCTGCGGCGCCGCCCACAGCCGCAAGCAAGGTTGCATCAAGCACTAACACTATGACTTGTCGCAGCGACGCGAGCGGGCCGCGAATCGTGTGGGCACTTGCAAGGACTCGACCGAGTATCATTTCTCTGCGCGGCAACGCAAGCCCCATGAAATGATGCTACCGAATGAAATTGGGCTGGGGAGTCAGCAGGCGGCCCTGCTGCAGGGCCGTCCTCGCCCTTCTCAAGACGCTGGCGCGGAACATGGGCGGGGGGGCGGAGGAAGGAGTAAATTGCACAACGGACGGGCGAGAAAAAAAAGAGGACGGCTTCGGAGGAACAACTGCATGAACATATACGTTTGGAGCTCCGCGCGGATTATTCGGTTCGGCCGCCCCCCCTTCCCTGGCGCGCGGAGCGCGCCAGCGGCGGCGCTGGAGGCGCCGCGGGGGGGGGGGGGCGCGGCAAGAGATCCGTGTGGACCTCCAAAAGCTGCTAGTGTGCAATTACGAACTCTTCGATCGCTCGAACAGCAAAAGCGCGTGATCGCGGACGTGTCCTGCCGAGCGAGTCACGGGCGGCCAGCGCGGCCGCGAACGCGCAGAGGCGGCGCCCCACTCGGTCTGGGCACTCTCTGGGCGCTGTGCGATGCGCCGCGCCGCCAGCGATGCGCACTCGGCCACGCTGCCCTCGGCGCAGCGTACGTCGTGCAGCAGGAGCAGGGCCTGCCCCCGCGTTGGCAGCCGGTCTCCCCGCCCGGGGTGCGCGCCGCCCCGCATCGTCGCCACGGTGCTGTCGGGGATCTTCTGGCCCGGGTCGATCCAGACCCGGGTCAGTCGGGCCTTGCCGGATCCCGCAAGATCTGGCAAGACCCTGCACCCAAATCCAGGTCAGCGCGAAGGATCCTGCAACATCCTGCAGGATCCTGCACCCAAACCCGGTCCAAGGTCGCAAGCGCTTCCCAGGTGGAGGGCGGCTCAAGATGCGGCTCTCGCCTCAGCGCTGCGCACATCCGCCTCAACAGTTCACAGCAGCTTCAAGGATTCTTCGGGTGGTCGTCCCAAGGTCCCAAGGGCCTTGTGGTAGAATGTAGAACTGTCAGGGCGCGACAGCCGCGCTGATCGCGGTGTTGACGTCCCAGAAATGGTGTTCTGGCACGGGTTAGGATCGTCAGGTCGCCGCAGTAACTGAAGGGGCCCTGGGACACACAAATAAATACACACAAATAACAGGATTCCCTATATTTTCCTATATTTTCTAGCTTTTTGTCTTCCCCCCCACTTCCCATATTTTCCAATGTTTTCTGGGGAATCGACGATTTATTGTGTCTGTGTGTTTTTCCCTCCTGAGTAACGTTGATTCGCGGTGCTGAAATCCCAGGACTGGTGCTCAGGCACGGTTGAAGACTTTCAGACGCGCATCCTCTGACGGGGCTCTCCCCGCAGTGAGCATAGCTCCTCACGGGAGCCCACGAAGAGGGCACTTGGAGAGAGGGTCTACTGCAAAATCGCTGACGGGCCTTGGGTTTAGTCTGGTCCTCCTCCTCCTCCTCCTCCTCCTCTTCCTCATCCTCCTCCTCCTGCATTCTTCTGCCGCCTCCTCCTCCTCCTCCTCCTCCTGCTCCTGCTGCTGCTCCTGCCTCACTCCTCCTGCCTCCCACTCCTCCTGGGAGAACACCAGACCTCATCCAGGGTGCGATTCGGCCTAGAGTTCTGGAACGAATCCAGCCCTGGCGCCCAGGGCCTCCCGGGAGGCCCAAGATAAGAGGCGCAAGCGAGGGCAGGGCAGCGGCATCGGCACCTGCTCCTCCTCTGATCCTCCCCCCCCTGCCTCCTCCTTCCTTCGGTACTAGAGGCCTCCTAGATGGGGTCCGATTATGTGGGGTCGAAGGATCGCGCCGCATCGCCAATGTATCGCAAATGCATCGCCGATGTATCGGCGATGCATTGGCGATGCATCGGAGACGTCGGCGATACATCGGCGACGTCGACGTGAAGCACATCGGGCTCCACATCAAGCCGCATCGGCGATGCATCCATCGACGATGCGGCGCGATCCTCTGACCCCATCTACTCCGACCCCATCTAGGAGGCCTAGAGGTACGCACCCTGAGATCCTTCAGCTCAGCGATCTGGCCCCTGAGCGTCTCCATGGCGACTGGGGAAGCGAGGAGTACTGAACTGATGGATTTCGGTGTCCTGGCCTACCGAAATCCATCAGTTCAGAAATCCTCGCCTCCCCAGTCGCCGTGGAGACGCTCAGGGGCTAGCTCGCTGAGCTGAAGGATCTCAGGGGGCGTATTCCGGGGTTGCGAAAGGCGCCCCGTGCCCAAGGTGCCCCCCGCATTCCGCTCAGTCTTGCAGCACCCGGGGGCCCTCCGGGGCCTCGTGAGGGGTGCTCCTGCAGGCAACGGGGGGCTCCTGGGAAGTCCTGGGGGCACATCGGGCCAGGGGCACCTCTTGACTACCTACCAGACCACCCCAACCCAACCCGAAGACCCGAACATCGGGTTGGGGGGGGGTACGGGTTCCATATATGTGTTCTCTCCTCGTTCCCCCACCCACCCCCACCACCCCACTGGAAATGGAGGGCAAATGGAGACCTTCGGTTTGGGTTGGGGTGGTTTGGTGGGTGGTGGCCTCTGGCAACGCCCGCCTCCTGTCGGGGATCTTCTGACCCGGGTCGATCCAGATCCGGGTCAGCAGGAAACCAAAAAACTGCAATGCAGTAAAAAAAACCTGCAACGCAGGTCTTCGCAAACCCGGGTCAGCCAACATGCGCGGCCGCCTCGCGGCCACGAGCGGCTCCCGAACCCGGGTCAGCCAGATGGGGTGTTCGAAGGATCCTGCAGGATCTGGTGCCCTGGCTGACCCCCGTTTGCATTGACCCCCGTCTCGTGAGCCCTGATCGGGTCGGGCGAAAGGGGGGGATAGCAAAGGGGGGGTTGAGAATCAGCTCACGTAGCTGATTTTCCCGGCGCCTCCCGGCGCCGGAAGCGGCCATGTATCGAGGAATGGGCCCCTCGGTGCAGCTGCATGCAGCAAATTTCGTAACCCCCCCTTTCCCAATCCCCCCCTTTCGCCCGACCCGACCCTCCCTCCCCGCCCGGCCGCCGAAGGCGCCCCGGCAGCCCCCCGCCAGCGCCAGCGCCGACACCGCGAGGCCGCCGGCTGCCGCGAGGGCGGGCGCCCTGCTGCGGGGGCCGCCGGGCGGCGGCACGGCCCCGGAGCGCGCCTGCCGGGCGCGGCAGGGGGCGGCTTCGTCCAAGGGGACCCCCCCCCCCGTTCCTGACCCTCCAGGAGGGCTAAAAAATAGCACCCGACTTGAAAACCGATCCCGAAGCTACTCTACGTCTTGGTTTGAGGCTGTTTCGCTCAGCTTTTTAGGTTTTTAGGTCTCCAGTGCTAAAAAATAGCTCTCTGGAAGGTCAGGGCCGTGTGCGCCTCTCCGGCCCTGGGGGCGGTCTGCGGCGGTCGTCGCGGGGCTTTGCCGGCGGTGCGCCGCGGACTTCTGGCGGCCTTCGGCGGCCTCCTTCGAAGGGCGGCGCGTCTGCAGAGCGGATTGCTCCAGAATTGTAGTAAATGAGCAAATTAGTATATCTGTTGCTCATGTTTTGCTTCCCAGTGTTCCATTCATTGGGAGGGACACGCTGCAAAGAGCATCCTGTAGGAGCACGAGCCCTGACAGTCTTCGGCGGTCTCCTGACGGCCTTCGGCGTGAAAACTGGGCGGTTGCGGTTCACAACGGAGTCCATGATCGAACAGGTAATTGGGCGCCCGAGTTATCCGGGGTAACTCGGGTCCGGGGTAAATCGGGTTTGGATTCCCGGAAAACGAACCCGAGTTTACCCTGACCCGAGTTGCCCCTGATGATTCGGGGCTCTGAGGTAACACGAACAATAGCAGTGCCACGCCGACGTTGGCGAGGACGAGGGCGAGGAAGTCCTGCGTCTGCGGAGGCTCCCGTCGGTGGCCGGGTGCCAGCAGCTGCCCCTCGCCAGTCGCCTTCCGGGGGTGCCCGGATCGTCCCGAGCGGCCGCGGGAGACCAGACTCTTGGCTCAGGTCGGGCACGTCCTCCTACATTGAGGGATGAAAAAACGACCCTACCCTGGGGTACAAGTGCGTTGTCTGTAAACCTCCAGCCTAGAGAGCCGCCAGGACGCCGCACATCACGCAGGGTTTACCCTGACAGCCCACAGGAGTTTCAGCGCACAACGCCTCGTAAACCAGGGTAGGGGCGTTTCTTATGCCCTTGACTACAGGCGGATTCTGGACGAAAAAGGAAGGATACAAACAAAAATCAAACATCGCCAGACGAGAATCAAAACATCATCCCCAGAGAAAATGTGATGAACAGTTCTGAATGTTCCTCCTGTAGAGGGACACGCCCGACTTGAGATTCGTGGCCCGAAGGCCACCCCAGGGCCCCGAGACCTCCAGCGTCCGGGAAAAGCAGGGCGGAGCTTCCTCGTCGTCTTCGGCCTCGCGGGGGGGGGGCGCCCTCGCCGGGCCTGCAGGGGAGGTGCAGCAGGGGCCCCACCACAAGAAACCTTCCATAAGGAACCCAGCCCTCAGACCCCAGGACGTCCATCGCTTTTTGGTTTCTGGTGTGGGCACGCCACGCCTTCCGGAGCAAAAAAGGCCATCGGCACCCAAGAAACCCAGGGCACCCTGGAGGCAAGCAGGGTGTTTCTTGGCATGGGTCTCCACTGTAGGGTCGGGGCCTCCAAGAACCGCAGGGTGGAACAACCAAAAAATCGGCTGTCCGGGCATGCGACAAGCAGGCCTGAGCTTTAGGTCGGGCATGCCTGCCTACAGGCGGATTGGACAAACAAATACAATACCCCATCAATACACCCCCCCCCCCCCCAACAAAAAAAACACAACAACAACAACAACAACAACAACAACAACAACAACCACAGCAACAGCAACAACAACAACCACAACAACAACAGCAACAGCAGCAGCAACAGCAACAGCAGCAGCAGCAGCAACAGCAACAACAACAACAACAACAACAACAACAACAACAACAATCATTATAAGAGTGTTCGCTCTTACTTGCCCGCGTGCCATGCAACGTGTATACCCACGCCCTCGATACCCGCCCCCTTCGTCTTCGAGCGCACCCCCTTCTGGGGGGATTCTTTCTTTTTGCGGGGGCGGGCGGGCTTAGACAAGCGGGCGTGAACGGGCGGGGAATTATTCGGAGGATGGGGCACGCATCTCTTTGCCCACCATTGGAATTAGCGCGGGCCCTGCAAGAAGAGGAAGGGGGAGAACGAGGGAGAGTGGGAGGAAGGGAGGGGGAGGGACGAGGCTAAAGGGGAACACGCCAGGAGAGAGGGGGCGAGGAGGGGGGGGGGAGGACGATTGGAGATAGAGAGACAGAGGAGGGAGGAAGGAGGAGGCTGGAGAGGGGAGGGCGAAGAGAGGAGGGAGGAGGGTTATGGGAGGAGGGTGAGGGGAGAGAGGAAGAGGGAGGAGGAGGGTGGATATGAGGGAGAGGGGAGGGAGGAGGGAGGTTGGATGGGGAGGAAGGGGCAGGAGGGTAAGAGTGTGAACGTTCGAGGAAGTCCTAGGCAAGGGCGTATTCCTCAAAGAAGAGTTGGGCGGGAGCGGGGGTCCCGAGTACATTGTCGGACGTCTCAGGCGGGAGCGCCAGTCGGGCGGGCGGACCCTGACGGGCGGGTCGGGCGGGCGGGACATTCAAACGGGATTTTTGCGTAACGTGCGAGGAAGTATTAAGCGAGAGCGCGATTCCTAAGTAAATTGCGAGGGCGTCCTTGGCGCGAGCGTGGTTCCTGAGCGTCGAGAACGCGATGCTGCAATAAATTGCGAGGAAGTCCTAAGCGAGAGCGGGGGTCCTGGGGTATCCTGGCGGGCGCAGGGAGCCTCGGGCGGGAGCAGGGGTCCTGATTAAGGAAGTCTCAAGCGGGAGCGCCGCTTCTGAGTAAAATGTGAGAAAATCTGAAGCGGGAGCGCCCTTCCGGAGTAAATCCCACCAGCCCTTTGGGCGTGAGTGGTTTAGAGAGCCCGCTCTGTCCTCAACCCCCTTCTTCCCCTTCGGGGAGGGGTTTACCCCTCCCCCTACCCCCTCCCCCTGGGCCTGGAGAGGGCGGGCCGCGGGTCGTCAGGGGAGTCTTTTTCGACTCCTGGGAGGGCTAAAAAACGACGACCCTCACGAGGATTCTGGCCCCGAGGGGGGGGGGACCGTTTGGCGCCTCCGCTCTTCTTTGAAGCCAGAATCATTGATTTTACTAGGGTTTGGGGCCCATTTTGGGCTTATGAGGGGACAGCGCTCATCGTCCTTCATAGCAAAATCATTGATTTTACTAAGGTTTTGGGCTCATTTTGTCCTTCTCAGGGGGCAGCGCTCATTTGCGCTTCTGAGGAGGTCGCAAGAGGCCCCAAGATGGCCCCAAGAGGCCCCCAGGAGGCTCCCAAGAGGCCTCCAAGAGGCCCCCAAGAGGCCCCCAAGAGGCCCCAAGAGGCCCCCAAGAGGCCCCCAAGAGGCCCCCAAGAGGCCCCAAGAGGCCCCAAGAGGCCCCAAGAGGCCCCCAAGAGGCCCCCAAGAGGCCCCCAAGAGGCCCCAAGAGGCTCCAAGAGGCCCCCAAGAGGCCCCACGAGGAGCCCGAACGACTCACACCAGGACGAGGGGCCCGAACGACTCACACCACGAAGAGCCCGAACGACTCACACCACAAGGAGGGGCCCGAACGACTCACACCAGGACGAGGCGCCCGAACGACTCACACCACGAGGAGCCCGAACGACTCACCAGGACGCGGGCCCCGAACGACTCACACCACGAGGAGCCCGAACGACTCACACCAGGAGGAGGGGCCCGAACGATTCACACCAGGACGGGGCCCGAACAACTCACACCACGAGAAGCCCGAACGACTCACACCAGGACGAAGAGCCCGAACGACTCACACCACGAAGAGCCCGAACGACTCACACCAGGAAGAAGGGCCCGAACGACTCACACCAGGACGAGAAACCCCAAACGACTCAAACCACGAGGAGCGCTTTCTCTCCCTCCTCCTCCGCCTCGTCCTTCTCCCGCTCCCCCCACAAGGAGGATGTGCAAGGAGGCGGGAGGAAGGAGGAACAGGGGAGATATGCGGGGCCAAGCGGACACACGCCTGAAAAAACACGACTGTCGGCATGCTTCGCAAGAGTTGCTGCTGTGAGATGGGCTGGTGGGGATACGCGAAGCGTAAGGAATTTTGAGGAAGTCTCAGGCGGGAGCGGGGGTCCTGAGTAAATTGTGAGGAAGTCTCAGGCGGGAGCCGTTGTTGTTGTAGTCCGGGGCCCAACAACGCAATCTGATCCGCAAGGCTTTCCCTGTCAAATTATCCCGGCAAAGCAACCTAACAGCGATGTGTAGGAGCGTACCTGGAAGCATTCCCCTTAAGATTCAGATAAGAATCCTGTTGTAGAATTCTGCTGTTCTCGCAGTCGTGGTCGCATTCGCGATGGCAGTCGCAGTGGCAACAGCAGTCGCAGTCACAGCCTCAGCCTCAGCCTGCCTCAGCCTCAGCCTGCCTCAGCCTCAGCCTGCCTCAGCCTCGCCCTCAGCCTGCTTCAGCCTCAACATCAGTCTGCCTTCAGCCTCGGCCTCAGCCTGCCTCAGCCTCACCCTCAGCCTGCATCAGCCTCAGCCAGCCTCAGCCTCGCCCTCAGCCTGCTTCAGCCTCAACATCAGTCTGCCTTCAGCCTCGGCCTCAGCCTGCCTCAGCCTCACCCTGCATCAGCCTCAGCCTCAGCCTCAGCCTGCCTCAGCATCAGCCTGCCTCAGCCTCATCAGCCTCAGCCTCAGCCTCACCCTCAGCCTCAGCCTCAGCCTGCCTCAGCCTCAGCCTGCCTCAGCCTCAGCCTCAGCCTGCCTCAGCATTCAGCCTCGGCCCCTCAGCCTCCGCCTGCCTCACCTCGCTGATCAGCCTCAGCCTCAGCCACAGCCTACAGTTGGCTCCGGGCATTCAAAATGTGGCCCAGGAATGGAGTTCTGGGAACTCGAAGACCACGAAGTGGCCTACAGTTGGCTCCGGGCATTCAAAATGTGGCCCGGGAATGGAGTTCTGGGAACTCGAAGAGCACGAAGTGGCCTACAGTTGGCTCCGGGCATTCAGAATGTGGCCCGGGAATGGAGTTCTGGGAGGTCGAAGAGCACGAAGTGTGTGACTGTTTGCGAAAAACGAGGTTCCGCGGACCCCCCCGGAAATCCCCAACGGCCCCCCAACGGCCCCCCAACGGCTCCCCAACGGCTGCCCAGACCCCCCTGTGGAGTAATGTGCTGCTCTCTTTTTACCCTATTAGAAACCTATCAGTCTTCGCTGTTAGGTAAAAACAGGGTGCGAGCCCCGGAGGAAGCACTTCGATTGAATTATCCCGGCAAAGCAACCTAACATCGATGTGTAGGAGCACATCTGGAAGCATTCCCCTTAAGATTCGGATGAGAATCCAGTTGTAGAATTCTGCTGTTCTCGCAGTCGTAGTCGCATTCGCGATGACAGTCGCAGTGGCAACGGCAGTCGCAGTCACAGCCTCAGCCTCAGCCTGCCTCAGCCTCAGCCTCAGCCTGCCTCAGCCTCAGCCTGCCTCAGCCTCAGCCTCAGCCTGCTTCAGCCTCAGCCTCAGTCTGCCTTCAGCCTCGGCCTCAGCCTCAGCTGCCTCAGCCTCAGCCTGCATCAGCCTCAGCCTCAGCCTCAGCCTGCCTCAGCATCAGCCTGCCTCAGCCTCAGCCTCAGCCTCAGCCTGCCTCAGCCTCAGCCTCAGCCTGCTTCAGCCTCAGCCTCAGTCTGCCTTCAGCCTCGGCCTCAGCCTCAGCCTGCCTCAGCCTCAGCTTGCATCAGCCTCAGCCTCAGCCTCAGCCTGCCTCAGCATCAGCCTGCCTCAGCCTCAGCCTCAGCCTCAGCCTGCCTCCGCCTCAGCCTCAGCCTGCTTCAGCCTCAGCCTCAGTCTGCCTGCAGCCTCGGCCTCGGCCTCAGCCTGCCTCAGCCTCAGCCTGCCTCAGCCTCAGCCTCAGCCTGCCTCAGCCTCAGCCTCAGCCTGCTTCAGCCTCAGCCTCAGTCTGCCTTCAGCCTCCGCCTCAGCCTCAGCCTGCCGCAGCCTCAGCCTGCATCAGCCTCAGCCTAAGCCTCAGCCTGCCTCAGCCTCAGCCTGCCTCAGCCTCAGCCTCAGCCTGCCTTGGCCTCAGCCTCAGCCTGCTTCAGCCTCAGCCTCAGTCTGCCTTCAGCATCGGCCTCCGCCTCAGCCTGCCTCAGCCTCAGCCTCAGCCTCAGCCTGCCTCAGCATCAGCCAGCCTCAGCATCAGCCTGCCTCAGCCTCAGCCTCAGCCTGCCTCTGCCTCAGCTTCAGCCTGCTTCAGCCTCAGCCTCAATCTGCCTTCAGCCTCGGCCTCAGCCTCAGCCTGCCTC